TAGTTACTCTTGTCTTTCAGTTTATGAGCCACAATGGAAACCTCCGTGTGAAGGCCAAGTTCGAAGCCAGAGTCCCAGCTTTCTACTACATCCCCCAGGCCAATGACTGCTTGTGAGTGCGCCATTTCTTAGGGGCAGAGTGAGGGGCTCTTCCTGTTTCCACCTTCCCCATCTCACCCCCATCTCTGTTACCTTTGGATGGTCCCCACCTCGTCAGCAGGTAGATCCAGGGATGTATTTGATACTGTCAGGGAGGGTGGGTTAAGAATCCTGGTTTAGCAGGGTGCATTGGTGCACCTCTACAATCCCAGCTACTCAGGAGGCTGAGGCAGGAGGATCACAAGTTGAAGGCCAGTCTGAGCAGATTAAGGAGAACCTGTCTCAAAAGGAGCTGGAGGTGACCTCAGTGGTGGCCAGCATGTGCTAGGCCCTGGATTCGGTCCCCAGTACTGCAAAAAGAAAAAGAATTCAGATTTAGTGGCACATGCCTGTAATCTTAGCACTCTGGGATGCTGAGGTAGGAGACTGTAAGTTCAAACCCAGCGTGAGCAATTTAGCAAGACTTTGTCTTAAAAATAAAGATCCTCAGTACCACAAAACAAAAGGAAGGAAAGGAGGAAGAGAGAGACAGACAGACAGACAAGCAGATACACCCACACACACACACACAGCGAGTGGAGGGAGAGAGGAAGAGAGATATCCTGGTTTAAGCTTCCCTTTACTTCTGGTCCTGGTATGTTTCTCCCCTTCACTGGGCCTCAGATTCCGTAGCTGTGCGGTGGCGTTTTCTCTCTGATGTAGCTCGCTGCCTCTGATGTCCTTGTAGCCTACATTTGAGAGAGGGGACGAATGTTGGTGTTTTAGTAGAACAAGTGTATTTCAGCTACTTCCTATTGGGTGTGGTCTAGGGCTGTCCTACCTAAGGCTGGCTGCAAAAGACTCAGCTAAGCTGAGATCTAAATAATAACCACAGAAATTATAGTAGCTGCTAATGTTCACTGAACTCCTGTAGACCGGGCGCTGTGCTAAATGCTACCACGCACTACTTCTTTCATTTTCGCAGTGACCCCACTGGCATTACTGTTAGCCCGGTGACAAAAGCGCCTGCCTGGCAAGCGCAAGGTCGTGAGTTCGGTTCCCGGTACCGGA